ATACAAAAACTAGCAATGAATAAAGACTAAAAAATATGACTTTGAATTTTAGTTCTGACAAAGAATACTTAACATACACTATTAACTACCAAGAGAATAAATAAACCAGTCTTGGAAGTAATATACCCAGAATACCCCTTGAAATATGAAAGACTTTGCCTCCTTTAGCTTGGACACACTATCAGGAAGAATTTGTCACTGAAGAAGGACACCATAACATCAATAAGATGATCATAGTAAAAGAGAAAGTCTCTCAATAGGATGTTTTAGCATAACAAGTAACAATTACTGCAATGAACAACAATTATTGCAGTGAACAACAATTGTGAAGTTTGTGCAGGACTAGGCAGTTTTGCATTCTGTTGTACTATGTTATTGGTATGAGTTGTAACTGGACAACACCTAAAAAAACAAACATCAAATTAACTGATACTAAATATGGATTGAAGCTCAACATCAGGAAAACAGAAGGCAACACATAGCCATCCAGTAAAAGAAATATTTAAAGACTGGGGGCAGGGGGAGGAAAACAAAGTTCCTCATTACTGGGCCAATTGACAACACCATGACAGATGGAAAACGATTGTGGATTGTTAATAATTTCAGTTTGCTTGATTCCACAATCAACATTCTTGGCACCAAAAGTCAAGAAATCAAAAGACAAATTGCATTAGGTAAATCTTCAGTCAGGGACCTCTTCAAATTATTGAGGAATAATGATGTCAGTTTTAGAATTAAGGTGTGCCTGATTTAAGCCATGGTCTACACCCACTTGCTATGCATCTGAAAGCTGTACAATTAATAAGAATGATAGAAGAATTTATGCCTTTGAACTGCATTGTTGGAAAAGAATACTGAATGTTCTGTGGAGTGCCAAAAGAACAGACAAATATATCTTGGAAAAGGTTCATACAGAGTACTCCTTGGAGGCAAAGGTGATATAACTTCATCTCACATACTTTGGGCATGTTGCTCAGAGGCTTTTCCTTGGAGAGGGACTTCATGCTTGGAAAGGTTGAGGATCAGCAAAAGAGAGGAAAACCTTCAAGATGAACTGACACAGTGACTGCAGCAATGGCCTCAAGTATGTCAGAGAGAGTGAGGATGGCACAAAGACAGGGAAAGGCTAATTTATCCATAGGGTTACTAAGAGTCATACTTAACTCCATGGCACTTAATAACAACAATAGGGATACAAAAGACCTGTACAAAGAAAGCTACCAAATTCTATTACAAGAAACTCAAAGAGACATATGTAAATAGAAAAACACACCATCTTCATTGTGAAAATGGCAATAATACCAAAATCAATCTACAAATATAATGCAGTCTCTATCCAGAACTTGTAATCATTTTTTAAAGAGAGGGAAAAAGTAGTTACCAACTTCATTTTAAAATTAAAAGAGATCTCAGATAAAGTTATATTGAAGAACAACAAAGTACGAGGCTTCACAATGCTTAATCTCAAGAACTACTAAGCAGTCATAGTAATCAAAACAGTTTTCTATGGGCACAACAAATACATAGACTAATGGCATAGAATTGAGAACCTAGAAATAAATCCAGCCACTTATAGAACACTGGTCTTTTACAAGAAATGAAATCCAGTATGTGGGGGAGAGACAGCATCTTTAATAAATCATACTGGTAAAGCTGACTATATTTTTACACAAAATTGAAGCCAGACCTATAATTTACACCATTAAAAAAAAACTAACTCAAAATGAATCAAAGACCTAAACATTAAGCCTATCAAGGAAAAAATTGGGAAAAACTAAGAAGACCTAATCTACTGCATAGATTATAACATATAACTGAAAATGCACAGTTAGAGGATAAACTAGGTGATTGGGACTTTCTAAAAATTAAATTATATGTGCATCAAAATATTTCACCAAAAGAGTAAAAATATAGCCTACAATCTGGAAATAATATTTGGCAATGGCATATCTGACAAGGGATTCACCTTTAAAATTAATAGAAAACTGCAACACCTAAGAGGCATGCTGGCTGGTGCAACTACTATGGCAAGCAGTTTGGTGCCTTTTTATAAAGTTGGAAATAGAAATACCATTTAATTCCACATTCCCAATGTTAGGTATATATCCCAAAGAAATAAGAGCCAAGACACAAATTGACATAATCATAGCCATATTTATTGCAGAATTGTATATAATAGCAAAGAGTTGGAAACAACCAAGTGCTTATCAACAGGCAAATGGCTAAAGAAACTCTGGTACATTCATATAATGGAATATTACACACTAAAAAAAATCAAAAGTTTGTGAAATATTATACAACATGGATAAATAATAGATCAAATTATGTTGAGTGACAAAAGTCAGTTCAAAAAAGGACAATTGATCTACCACCAGGAGAAGATAAAATAGATGAATGGGATCTTCTAAGAATCAAATCCCTATGCACATCCAAAAACTTCTCCAACAGGGTAAAAAGGGAAGGCACAGACTGGGAAAAAATGTTTGGTAATGACATGTCAGATAA